GTAGCGACAATAAGTATCCAGTTGAGAGATCTTGTCCTCGAGTTCGTGGTTTTCCAACTTAGCCATAAAGACATCTACTAGTAATGGGCCAAGTGGTGAACCCATTTCCACACCATCGACTTGGCGGTACATATGTACATTACATAAGAATTGAATGTTCATTGTGCAACGTAAAAGTAGTTCTTTCAGATCTTATTTCGGAACCACGGTGTTTATCTGGTTTTGTGCTATGTAATTGCAGAGATAATCAATCGTTTCAATCAGTGTCACGTTGGCGAAAAGTGAGGATACGTCCAGTGAAAACATGACTTTGTTTTTCACGTTCGAGATTTTGACTTTCTCAACGAACTACCCCGTATCACGCAAGCTGAACACACTATTTGCTTCCGGATGGGTTCTAGCTTGGAAACAAGCGATCGTGCAATTGAATGGTACGGAGAACCTGACATCGAAAGTATCGGTCGTAGAGGACAATTCGGCTTATGTACTTTAGGTAGGCCGTATAGACGTGGAATAACTGAGCCTTGAGGTTTTAGGCTCTCCAAGTCCATCGTTGTGACATGGTTCTCACTCTGCAGTCTCTTCAGCAATGTCGTTAGTTGTTTTTCAATTGAGTCTGAATTATCTTTATCCCGGTCCAGTTGTTGAAATTTGGTCTTGTCAGTCAAAATTGCTTCCATTTTTCTAATGTAATCAGTTCTGTTCATCAGCTCTATTCCAGCGCCTTTGTCAACCTTCGAAATCACTAGTTCCTTGTTTTGATTTAGTTGTTTAAGTGCGTCGCGGTGATGTTTTGTTAAGAGCCCGGTGACAGTGTCTCTTTTGACACTATGCGTAACATGTATTAAGCATAGCAGATTTGAAATGTTCCAAATGCAGGGAAGATGTTGGCTGTAGATTTCGGGTTTGGGTTATCAGGTTTTCAAATTGTGTCTCGATTTCATTTCGCTGATCATGTGGACGATGGTCGCAGAATTTTATTCCGAGCGATAGAACTTCTGGCTGTTCTTTGGTCAAAATCACATCCGACAAATTATGAACGTATTCTTCAGGATTGTTGAGACTGTTGTCTAAACAAACTCTTTTAATGGAACCGTAATGTATTTGAATAGTGGTGGTAGTACGACGGGGTCACCACTCCCTGTAGAGGACGTAATGTTGATGGATTCCGCAACCATCAAATCCTTGATTGCCAACAATAAATTCGGTATTAATGGGACTGGCATGCTCCCTTCTCGATGAATGTGAGTCAATCAGCGGTTTGAACTGATGTTCGAATACGAGACGGGCGGAAAACAGACTACACAAATCAACCGATAGACTTCGGAATTAAGAGTATGAACCGATAACCACCTTTATTTGGAAGCGGTAATATCCCACCGACCAGATTAGAAAAGCTACTTGATTTGGTATAGCAACAGATCTAGTAGGATTCCTTTTGGGTAAGACGTTTTATTTTTTCCAACCCTTTCGTAGATGGCTAACATCAGCTTTTCGATCAGAAAACTTGATACTTTGGTCAGCCCATGGTGCCGCATTGATAGCTTTTTTCTACTGTGGGTCATTTTAGGATCTAGGATTTAGCGAGGTCTCAGGGGCATTTCTAGTGTTCCTCTTTCCTTTCTTTCTTACCTCAAATGAAATCGGGTGGTAATTCTTCTCTTTGTGACTTTATTTGAAGCCATCTACTCAACAGCTAAACGAACACATCAAATTGGGGTTGAGAATGCCTGAAAACGAAATAGCATTAAACCACAGTACAGTAAAGTACATTCGTAGTTCTCTCAGTAAATACCCATAGATCGGGTACACAGAACCGTTCAGAAAAGATCTTTGTTTGCTGAATGAGAAAGAGTTCACTTAGATTCATGGTCTGCATAGCCCTCCTCCTTCTGGTTGCGCAACAGTAGATATTCTCTCATTTCAGGAAACAACTTCACCAGGCACAGACATCACTAACAGTCAAGCAACAAGAGGATGAAGATCATCGGCTGGCGTTGGAAGCCAAACTGAGAAATACGCACCTGGAAAAGGTTAGTTTGATCCCATCGTAACTTACCAGTGGACTAACTTGTTTCCCTTCTTTTTTTCTCACCACCTGGATAAGAAATAGCATAGAGTTATAGCAGTCAGACATTTAAATATTCAATTTCGATTGTTGTTCAACATAACTGACTGTAGTCCAGGTCTATCACTTTAAAATGACAATGAAGAACCACAGACCTAATCAATTTCAATGTGGTCCTGTATAACGATGATCAGAGTATTTTACACGTAGAGCCTAATACTGTGTAACAGAGACGCTACTCGTTTTATAACTGTTTGTTTAATTACAGGAAATCAGTCTCCTACAGTTGAAAACCGAGCACCTGAGCAATCAACAGGCAATGATTGGAATGATTCGCGGTGAGTACGAACGTGAGATAGAACAGATCAAGGCAAAACACTCTGAGGAAGTGCAAAGACAATGTCAACAGCTTCAGGTACGCGTGGTTGTTTCAACCACTTACAGTTTGCGAGATGAAGTTGTAAACCCCACTGTAACACAGAGTTTCTAAGAACGGCACGAATTTAGGTTCGGCTAAGATAGTCGCAGTAGTAATCTTAAGTTCTACTGAAGGTCATTGATGTTGGACGGAGTTTGAATTTCTAGCAGAGATTTATTCCGTAGGATTATTATTATTATTATTGTTATCATCACCACGAACAGCAATAACAACAAAAACTAATACTACTATCACTACACCGTATATTCATATAATTGTTTGTCCATTCCACACTGCTGTCAGGAAACCCAACGGATTGTGGAACAGCTGAGCACGCAATTAGAACAGAGAAATCAACTCGAAACCAGCCAGTCGGATCATGCTACCCAAACAGATGCGCTCACTTTGATGCGTAACGCCCGTTCCTCGGAAGTGGACCAACTGTTGGAACAGATATGCCAATTGCGTATGGAACGTGATGCTGCACTGAAGCGTGCGCATGACGAACGTGCCAAAGTTCGCCAGCTGCAAGATGAACAAGATGACGCCGCTCGCCGCGAACAGAGAGGTTCCATATCGTCCGAACAACGACCAACTAATCGGGTAAATGATGATCACTGTACGAGCGGATGAGAGTAGTTTCCGTAGAATGGGTGTGTACCGACATGCTTTTTCCTCTGTATTTGCCGGTTTGCAATTTGAATCGATTTGTGTAGACCAGATAAACAAATCATCTTCTAGAGGTTGACCCGTCAAGCGCAGTACACATGGTATTGCCGACTAAAACGTGGCAGTTCTGTATTGCTTTTGAAATATTTGTATCAGCAACGCAAAGCTGCTAAACAAATTGGGATTTAAACCCAGTCACGAGAAGTTATCCAGAGAATTCATCTAGATTGAACATCAAAGATTGTCCTTCGTCAACAATCGACGCACATCTCAGCTTGGGGACTTTTTGACAAGTCAGTCTTTTATTAAGTGAAACTAACCACCCGAACATTTTCACCATAACGCCATCTATAGGCTTTTCCTCCGTTGAAACGGTTGAAGTTAGAAATTAGGTAAGTGAAACAATGGCCGACTTCAGAAATGCTTTTCCCTACAACTGTTCAGTGTATTGTACTGCTGCTTCTACTTCGCGAATCCTCTGTTTTCTTTACCAGAAAACCAGAATTCATTTCCATAAGTCGTAACTTCGCATAAAATACAAAACGATAATGGGTTGTCTTTTAAAATATTGATCGATAAAACGAACGCGTCTAATTGATCAGTTGGTATAACCTAGCAGCAATCCAAGTTCGCTCTAACACTAAAATAGATGTGCGTACAACATTCATGCAAAAATAGAAATTAAATGCTCATCCAATTATCTTTGTAGTGTTTTTTCGGATCGATCAAAACAAACCAAAATCAGTAAAGCATCACTTTTCAACCCTTCAACCAAACAATGGGAGTTAAACATTTCTGTCCAAATATTTTTGTTCCAGCGAAAAATTACTGACGATTACAGAAATCTGATGCCTTATCTGAGATCTTTTGTATCATAGCAATGAAAATAAAAAGATCCCTTGTTGCTCACGTCTTCCTAATTCTCTACCCAGGCTGTAAAATGCGCAAACAGTAAACAATTACGTGATATTCGCGGACAGGCACCGGATCGAAAAAATGAAACTCGGAAATCCGGTCCGAATCACTTGTCTAATTTGTCTTCAGTCGAACGAGAACGAAACATGCTGCTCCGATTCCTCACTGAGGTTCTCATGGCCGTGCTACAGACAAATAACACTGAGAGTCGCAAACTAACCGAACTGCTACAGATCCCCCCTATCCGAGTCACCATTCCAGCCTCGTTGATTTTAGCTGACAATTTGGACACGTCAAAAATTCCACCCAGAACCACATTGGTCAGTTTACTTCCCACACTAAAAGAGGACATTCCTCGCTAGTGAGTTATGAAACCGGACAGTTTGTAAGGTAGTTCATTCAATATCTGTGGTCTTCTTGAATTTCAGAAATGAATGGAACTGGATACACCCTGTAAACCGTTGTAGTTATCCTAGTTTAGGAATTTCATTTCATGGTTTCGCGAGATCAAGCTTTGTGGGATACTTCTTTTTTCAGGTTTTTATATGGTCGGTGGTAGAAGAAAACATTCAGAAATATTAATCCGAGTGCACGGTTTATTCGCGTTGAGCAATATACCTTTGCATGAGCTGTATTGAACTTTTCAAGATTTTCATTTGCTTGAAAACCTTCTCTCCACCCCATATTTTAAAATAGAATGTGCCCTAGTTAGCTGATCGAGAACTGCGGTAAATGTTTTTGTTTGACTGTTATTCATCTATACAGCGCCCTTCTGAAATGCGCTTCCGACTCCACAAACATAAGTCATACCACTCAATTGAACTGAAAAGTAAAACAATATGGAGCATTTGCGATCAAAGCCTTCAATAATGTAATGGCTGAACTATGACTTCCGAGGGTCCCGGACCTGGGGGATCACTGTGGCCCAGAAATTTAAACATAGCTCAGGGGTTGAAGACAATCAAAGATGTTCGCAGAGAGTTACTGAGCCGTTTTGTGCCGCAGTCACATGCAAAATGTCTGGGGTTTTCATTCCTCGTATACAAAACATTGTGTTCCGGCATGAACAATGTATTACGGAAAAGAGGATCCTTATTTACTATAATAGCTGCAGGACAGAAGAACAAAAACTAAGAACCAACGATGAAGGACAAACTCTTCCTGGTCCTTAAGAGAATGGGAGGAGATCTGGATAAAGCATTTAATATAGGCAAGGGTCCATGTGGTCTAAAGGCGGAAGATTAGTTTACTTCAGTTTTAGAAAGAGAAACGAGGGGACACAATCAATAGACCACTTGAGATTGGATATTGGGGCCCGCTACTTCATCAAGGTAATATCATGATAGTATAGACTACCAGTTGCCGTAGGAAACTGCACCCTTGCCAATGCATTCAAGAAACCCTTATGTCAGTAGTGGTCTACAAACGCCCCAGAAACAGAATCATAGATCCAAAGGATCAAAGCGAAATGTTTTTTGATATGCAGACCTCGAACATCCATTCACACTCCGTTTTCAAGATACAAAATTTGCCAATCGAATACTGAAGTGAACTTAACTGAGCAAATCATCATAGAAGTAAACTACTTTCTTCCGAAGATCTATTATCTCTTGTGTTGGAAGCTCCTTCAATCAAACAGATTCTGTGAGTACCGAGCTAACATACGAAGGTAGCTGAAGTTTGGTGTTGTGGCAATCTATCTTTCAAACATTTTATGATTGTTTTTGTTTAATATTTTGATTGCGGATGTTAAAGTACCTCAAACGAGCTGCAGGCTGGAGTTCACTGCCTAAACAAGTGACAGTAAAGTGCTTCTTCACTTAAAATGGTCAAAAGACTTAATCCCATTTTACGTCATATTTTTAAAAGCATTTGATGTTAAATGCATCCATAGTTAGTCTATCACTCACTTATGTTTCCTATCACCACTAATCCTTGGTCACATATTGTGTGTTTGTAAAACTCAGGTTTTGGTAGGGTTATGACACAGGAGAGATCATAGATGGGTTCAATGTTAGTTTGGTGAAGCATTATTTAGGCGAGAAATAGCTAAAAAGCTTAGATCCACAAACAGTTGTTCATTTTTGTGTGGTATGAATAAGCATGCCTGTCTAGTGGAGATCAAACACGGGACTGCAGGTCTAATACTCGTTTGACTATCAGACACCTGAACAGATTGATGAAACTAATCGAGATTTCACATAGCCCAGATCATCTTGGCAGATATATTACGAGTTGGAATTGCCATTGTTTTTCTGGGCTTTCTCAATCTAGTTCCAATTCTGCCGCATAGTCAAGCACCACACTGGTTTTCTTTCCGCTTTTACAAACCAGGCGAGTTCAAGCCGAACAGCTTCTTCCATACTATACTGATATGTGTGCTGGCTTAAAAGTGGTATATGGTGAAATTGACCACACACCCAATCAAGAAAAACCGAAATTGAAAACACGGAAAACTCAGCTGTGCCGATATTCCACTTCTGCTTGTTTTTGGCATTGGTGTGAGTCCGTCAGCTGCCTATAAAAGAGTTAGTGCCACCAGTTCACGCTGATGATGAGAAAATGGAATATAAGTCACAAATCTACCATAGATTGTGTGATTAGTAATAATAATTCAAATATTCATACATGCAATCCAGTTTCATATGCTTGGGCTTCACACAAAATACTACTATCATTCGTTACGTACATATCCTTTGTATGCACGCAACCGTGCACCGCAGCTGGATGACAGTTTTGGCCGAATCTATGGGAGGCTTGAACGCCTGTTGCTCCAAAGTGGTCGACCTGGTCTATCGGCAACAGCAACTACTTGACAGCCAAGCACACAGCTTGCGCGAACTAAAAGCTGTCGCTGCCAGGCAAGTCGATGTTCTGTACGAGCAACTCGAACGGACCAGAAAGATGCAACTGAACAAAACGAAACAAAAGCTGCTTCAAGTAAGTCAGGTTAGTGAGATGAATTCGAATCAAATTCTTTCTCCCTCTCGCCCCAAGAATAAACAGCATGCTGAGCTTTTGAAATCATTCTGTTTGCTCCTTTCAAATGTTTAGGATACCATTCTGCCCAAAGGAGAATATCAGACCGAGTCCCGATGCAGTGAGTCGCATCCCACTTCTAATATGGACAAGTCAAGATCACGTTTATCGGAAGAAACACCGATTAGCACACCGATGATTTTGTAAGTTTCCTGTCGCTTGTGATCCATTCTAAGGGGGTTGCCCTGAATAAGATGCAATATTTGAAAACTGTACTTTTAATGTTTTCTCTACAAAAATTACAGGAACCTTATTCCTAATGACCAGTTCAACGACTTCATCTGGATAATGGTAAACTACAAACAGATATAATTCAGCCATTGATCAAAATAAGGTTCTGCACTACTGACTGCGTATTAGGCAAGTATCGATCAACCCGACGCAAACGTTCTTGATCACTAGCGTCCGTCTGCAGCCTTATCTCATCTGAGAACCAACCTTTGAGC